CCCCCACGTGTGCACACACGAACACACACACAATGAGCCACTCTGTCCCTCCCTCTGCTTTCCCCCCCTTCCCCTCTCTTCTCTTCCCCTCTCTCCCCTTCCCTCCCCTCCCCTCCCCTCCCCTCGCCTCCCTCCTCTCTAGCCTGGGCCTGGAACACTGGGTGCCTGAGCCAGGCTTGGGAAGCCTGCAGCCTGGGCTGCCTGGCGCCGCCGCTGGACTCACTGCATGCACACCCCATGCCCGCCTGCCCCAGCCCAGCTTAGCAACAGCGATGGGCACGCGTGTGTCCTGTGACTGCAAAGCAGCACCGGGGTTGGTGGGAAGCCACAGCGACTAGATGACGGGTGGGAAACTGAGGCCCAGAGCGAAGGCCTCTGCCCAAGGTCACAGGCCAGAGGATGCTGAGACCTGGAGCACAGCAAGCTGCAGCCAAACGCAGCTTCTGAGTAGTGGAGGGTGCTCAGCTGGGGCAGGGAAAGGGGGCCTGGAGAGGAGGGAGGAGTGGACAGGGGCGGCTGTTGCCCAGTTCTCCCCACCCCCCAGCTTGCTGTGCCTGCCAGCCTCCTCCAACCTCGTCTCCTGTCCTTGCTCTCTGACACCTCTGTCCACTAACCCACCCACCCCCTTCCCTGGACCTTCACACTTGCAGGCAAGCGTCTGGGTGCAGGGAAGGCAGGGGCTCCCTTCTCTTGCCCAACCCAGCAGGTCCCCAGGCCTAAGCACCAGCCATACGTGTGCACCTGCAGCACATTCATACCCTCACAGTCTCCTCTGCTGCCTGGCCAACAGGGAACTGCGACACGAGGAATGGCTTGTATCCACAAGTGCGTGTGTCCTCCATGCCCGTTAGTTTGGTCACCCTAGGTGACTGTAGGGGCAGAAGCCTTGTAGGGGACCCCCAGCCCAGGAAACAGGGCTCTGAGGGCCCAGGGGCTGTGCTTGCCTCCCTCAACACTCCAGCCCTCTCCCAAGACGGTTCACCTTGGGCCCCTTAGTCAGTAGCCACCCTTTGCTCTGATTCACCCAGTGGGAAGTTATGATGGGGCTGGGGCGGAGCCTGTAGCTAAGGCTCCACCCGCCTCCCAGGGCTTTGGAACACTGGGCTGGCTGGCCTGGCCTGTGCAGCCTGGCTGGGGACTTTAAGTCAAGTCCCGTCCTGGCTAATGGGCCACCCTGTGCAAGGGGCCACCCTGAACTTTGTCCTTCAGGTGTGTTCCTTATTCCCTACGTCCTGATCGCCCTGATCGGAGGAATCCCCATTTTCTTCTTGGAGATATCACTGGGCCAGTTCATGAAAGCCGGCAGCATCAACGTCTGGAACATCTGCCCCCTGTTCAAAGGTGAGCAGCCCCAGGTGGGCCCCCTCTTCCTCAGGGACAAGCAGACCACCCAGTGACCTTGAGGCCGAGACTACAGTGGGGGGTGGGCTTCTCGCTGGGGAGAATGCCCAGGCCCAGTGAGGCTAGAGACAGGCCCTGCCAAGCACCCTTGGCTTCCTGGGGCTGAATGGAAGGCGCCTGGGTGTGGGACTCTGATGGCAGGAGAGGCCAGAAAGCCAGCCTAAGGAGCTTGGGCGGGAGCCATCAAAAGTTCAGGGTCTGAAGGGAAGGACCAATGTCCCCAGTTACCTTAGAGCCCCCTTCTGCGTGTAGGCAACGTTCCCCCATCATCTCTCAAGGCCAGAGGAGGTAGGTCCTATTTCCGTCCCCAAGGAGGCTGGAGCACAAAGTGCAGTGACTGGCTGCGGTTGCCCGCCAAGAGGGTGACTGTCTCCCACACTGCTCCAGATCACCAGAAAACCTCCCAGCTGCTGAGTACTGGAAGCCGCTGGAGGGGCTGGCCGGAGGCTTGGCCTCCCTTCAACCCAAGAGAAGGGGACAGGTGTATGAAGCTAGAGAAACAAGAGAACTTGATTCTCAGATGGGGCCAGGATGTGGGGACTCTGCCTTGGGTCCGGGGAGGATGCGGGAGGTGAGGCCTGGGAGGTGGGCAAGGAGCAGGGGCTGATTTTTGGTGGCGGACAGGTTGAGGAGTTAGTCCAGCGCTGGGACACTTGCACAAGGGAGTCTGGTGGGGCTTGGAGAAGTCTCCGGTGCCCGACAGAGAAGATCTGGGATGGAGGGGTGGGGGGGGGAGGACAGCAGATACAGGGAACGGGATGTGGGGAACTGGGCAGGGAAGAGCCTCCTTGGAAATGCACTCCTCTCCAGGCCTGGGCTACGCCTCCATGGTGATCGTCTTCTACTGCAACACCTACTACATCATGGTGCTGGCCTGGGGCTTCTACTACCTGGTGAAGTCCTTCACCACCACGCTGCCCTGGGCCACATGTGGCCATACCTGGAACACTCCTGACTGTGTGGAGATCTTCCGCCATGAAGACTGTGCCAATGCCAGCCTGGCCAACCTCACATGTGACCAGCTTGCTGACCGCCGGTCCCCTGTCATCGAGTTCTGGGAGTGAGTCAGGCGCCTCTGGGCCACGCCCGGCCTGTCCCTCTCGGCCCCCACCCGCAGCTCGAGACTGTAGGGGCGGGGGTGGG